TCAGCTGGGCCTGCCTCTCCACCAGGTTGCGGATCTGGTTCTCCACGGCCTCCAGCTCGAGCTGCACTGAATGCAGCTTGAACGTGTCCTCACCTGCACTCAAAGGTAGACACACATCCGCCATTAAAGCAAGTAACAGTGAGTAAAACAATGGTAATGTGTGTGAATAGAGTATTAGTAATGTAAGCGAGATTAGCGGCAACCACGCTGGCGATGCTAGCGGGCTATTTGCTAATAGTGGACTCGGGAAATCAAAATAAAACTAGTGATAACAAGGCGTTCTGATTGTTTTTGTTGTAGAATACGATAGGGGATATATTCACACGTTATAGAAACGAAAATGATGGTGTATAAAATTGATTTTAAGATAAAAAATTAGACGACAAAAAAAAAAAAAAGGGGGTTCTGCTTTGTAGTAGTTAGTCCTCAAGAGCTGAGGTATAATTTTGGCCTCAATGAAGCTTTCTTTGAAGCTCTTTTATCGGTGTTGTGATTTTATCACTCTGTTTTACCCAACTTGCTTTTCATATTTAAATGTATCAACTTAAATTGTCTTCCTTTATCCAATCACAAGTTTTCCAATTGTTTATAATTTAGCATTTTTATTCTGTTTGCTCATTATCATTAAAATGTTGCTCATTTGTTGCAATGAAGCAGATAAAACAATATAGAATGCAGTTTGCTGATTAAAGCTTTAGGTTCTATTTTGTGACTCTGTTGAGTACCAGACAAAAATTTGGATGATGGTATTCCAATTTTTTATCTCTTGTTGCTTTGGCAAACAAGGAGATATTTACATTTCAGAACAAGGGATGTCATTCCTCGTCTACGCTGCCGCTATCATGTCCCTGCCGAATGGTTTCGTCTAATTCTCAACCCCACCGAATCCGGTCTCCGGTCTAGCAATATAAGTATTCCGACTCATTCTACAAATGTGTATATATGGGATGCATCTGTCTTTCCCTCAATATTTCTAAAAGGCAAATAAGAATTGACTTACCACAGCAGCTGGAGAAAGAGAAGGAGATGATCAAACCCTTTGTTCGGTGTAAATCCATATTGCGCTGAAAAACGTCACTCGCCTGTTTAGGAGATCACGTCGCTGGTCACCACTTTGTAAGGTCCACGCACTTGGCCCAAGGAAGGTATCCAGTGGGGGCTGAAGGTTTTTTGCGTGCTCGTTCTTTTCTATGTCGCTCAGGGTGCCTCACGTCGGCCGCTCTACGTGGGCCCCACGATCACAAACTCGCCAGTCTGATCATTAGCCAGAGGTTATGACTAGGTTCAGCTTTTGCTGTAGGGAGTTCTGTGCATACTCGGCCCAGGGCAGGAAACGGCCCCAGCTGTACTGGTGGTCATGGCAGTAGGATTGCAGGTATCTCCTAATCTCTTGGATTTTATGCTCAGTCTGGCCATTAGTTTGGGAATGATTATCCATATGATAAACTGACAGAAACTCAGAGGAGTTGGAAGAAGGCTCGCCAGACCCTGGAGTTGAACTGTGGTCCACGGTCAGATGTGTAGCGAATCAGCTCAAAGGGGGAATATGCATAATTAATCATAACTAGTTATAATTAATTATAAATATTTAGATCCGCTGTAAGTATTTACTTGACCTCTCAGGGTCAACTGTCTGTCAATTCTAAGTGCGTTAATTTCCTGGTTAAGGGAAATAACTTTCTTACTGTACAATACTACACAGAGCATGTAGCAAAAACGTAATGGTATACAATGTCCTGAGGAGATGTCTGTTCATTCACAGAAAGGTTTTCCTATGAATGAATCAGAGAGTCCATTTTTACTGTGCATTATGTGTCTTTCCTATGGAAAATGTAGTGAGAGGGAGAACTCTCAACA